TATATATATATATATATATATATATATATATATATATATATATATTCACTTGGAGATCTTATAAAACCCTCTGGACTTAACAGGTTAAATCAGTTGTCAGCTCCTCATCCTCCTGTCTGATGTTATTATCTTTTTTAGTATCCCTTAAGCAGCTGTTAAAAACTTCATCACCAGCTCCCCACCCCTGGGAAGGACATGGCAAGGAGTTGTGTCAGGGGGCCTGGGACTGAACCTTTTTGAACATTTCCACTTCAGAGGTTTTATGTTATTCTTTTTTTTTGTGATTTGTGATACCTATTTTGCACTAAACAACATTTGGAATCAAGACCTTTGCTTTTTTCTGTATAGATGTACTAATAAACTTTTTGAAGGTAATCTGAAGTTCATTTAAAGCTTAGACCAAGAAATATTGTTTTCGCATGATGCTTTTATCAACCTTTCTATTAAAACCAGTCATTTATTAACAATACTTATGAAGGAACAGGAGCTTGCCCTGCGATGGACTGGCGACCTGTCCAGGGCGTTCCTCTCGCCCATAGACAGCTCGCGACCCTGCTTGGGATAAGCGTGATGGAAAATGGATGAATGAAACAGGATTTTGTTTTATGATTTTTTAAAGTATATGCCAGTAGCTTACTCTTGTTGCATACAAAGGTTATTTTTCAGAAAAACTACCATAGTCATGCATATTATTTTTTTCATTTATTTTCTTTTGCTCAATCTTTTAGCAAGTAAGCCCATCTGTTATAAATATTTACAATGACAACAAAAACCTTTTCACATGCATAATTGGTAAATTAATGGGGCTGTGTCAAGGGAATTTTAAAATAATGATAAATAAGATAAAGTGTGAAAGAGTGCAAAGATATGTTTGATTCCAGTCAGTTTTCCATCACAGCTGCCTCTCTAAAAAGAAAATGTAGCTCCATTGTAAATTAATCTCTTCAACTGGCAAGAAGTACTTAAATTGAGTTTACCCAACGTAATTGATTTGAGTTTTCAACTGATACACTTAATAAGTTGGATTAACTTGATTTAATTACAGTAGTTGTTACCATTTGAAGCAGAGTGTAGAATCCATAATATTTAAAATCAGATCCCGGTCTCAGTAACAATGCACTAACCAGGAAATAGCATTTTGATGTGTTAAGTTGAATCCTTTCAAATGAAAAGGATATAGCCTGTGACTTTGTTTTATTTACTTAATAGAAATTGTTCATTCGTTGATGCTGGGTCTCTGTTTGCATTTGTTAGGAACAGAAATGTTACTTTTTTCTTGATATGCTGATGGGGAGGATTCAACAAAATGTAGAGATGTTGTAGATCTGTCTAATTAATTAATATCAGTTTTGCAGGAGGATCAGGCTGCAATAGGTAGCTGTGTCCATTGTTGCCATCTAGCTTTCTAATAGTTTTGTGATCTGTGAACAGATGGTGCACACATCTGTTTATGTCTGCTCATCTTCTTGTGCAGGAGTCAAAACCCTCTAAGCATGGACGTTTGGTGTCCATGCTTATGGTGATCAAGTGATTTTTTGGGGGGAAGTTTTATATATAGGCCTATAATATGACAATGCCATTTTGAAGAGAATATAAACTTTTAGCCTACCTCCTATATTACTGATTGGCTTAAAAAGCGTCTGACTCCAACATGTTTCTTAGCAGACAGAGGTTAAAACCAGACAAGCAGAAAGGCAAAAACATTCCTTCTAAGAAAACACTGTCTCCGTTTCCTTTCCCCTTAGTAATGTTGAAAGCGAGTAAAACTCACAATTGTGACTGAAAAAACATCGATATAAACAGGAATCTGTTAGTGAGACCTGGTATTGTTTAGATTGTTGAGTTCAGTGAGCAATAAATCAGATTTCTGACTCTGACATCTAGTAACCAGTGAGGCCAAACGATATACTTACTCATTTCATTCATCAACTGATTATGTATATGTGTATGTTTATTTTTTGAACAGCTGGATCTTACACATATACTGTTATGAGTCATAGACACATAACAATCAGAAACACTCATTCACTCATTCACAAGGAATTGTTTTTGAACTTGTCCTCCATAAAAAAAATACACAGAAACAGAAAGGACAAACTTCCAAACAGCCCTCAGTTGTCTCAGTAGGTTAACCTAAAAAGAGATACTCTACACTGACTGATGCATTACCTTGGGCCACGATGTCAGTGTTTGACTGCAATGTAAAAGTGAGTAAAGGCACAATCTAAACGATATCTGATTCAGCCAAACTCTGTCTTTTTGGTAGCTGTGTAATTACCTCTGGGTAATGAATCTTGTCTGTCATCAGGAGATTAAGCCGCAATAGGTTCCTGTTACTGCTTCTGGATAACTGATTAGATTTATTACAACACACATGGTGGTTTCCATAACATAAAAAAGGCAATTAAAGAGGTAACTCAAGTTATGTAAGTAACATAAAACTCACATAACCCAAGATCAGAATGTGTAAGGTACAAGTAGATACTAATGGCAATGTCCCAGAATGTTAATGCCAGAATATAAGAATGAAAGGAGGATTTAGGATTCAATAGACGCCTTCCACGCTGCTCAGAGAAAGTTCATGATAAGTATCCTGGTGTAATTTTACAGGCATAAACTTTTGTCTCGGATTAAGTACTGCGGTTGCAGACATTTAGTTTGAAAAATGGGATAATCAGTACAAGGAATATGATCTTCTTTGTGGGAACCTTCATAACATATATTGTGTTTTGAATACATAGATGTTACATACTTTTTTGTGCATTGCCTTATTCCTTAACTTTACCCAAGTGGGGGAAAAAATTATGTAGTCAGCAACGACAACTTAAAAACATGAGAGAGGCCCAAAGTAATAAAGGCTACCATCAGTAATTCACAACACCCAGAGGGACTTATATCCTGCAATGCTATGTTTGTCCCCTTGCTTAAGCCAGTATACAGTATGTTCAGGCTCATCTGACGTTTGCCAGAGGCAGTATAAGTAGATGATCCAGAATAGGAAATTGAGTAAATCGTTTGGTCAGCTGAAACCAAAATGTAACTTTTCGGCATAAACTCACCTCATTGTGTTTGAAGAGAGAAAAATGCTGAGTTGCATCCCAAAAACACCATCTACTGTGAAGCG